GTTTTTGATTTTCGTCTCTGATTAATTATAGGCCTTTTACGGCTTGGATGTTTGTCAATTTATATTTGGTAATAGTACGCTGTTTGGTTGTTCTATCGCACTAAGAGTCAACTTGTATAATTTGTTGTGATTTTCTTTTATTTATCTAGCCAAATATAATAAATTAATATGATTGTTTATGCTCAGTGGTGTTACTCGTGGGGGAGTGAGTGAAGAACAATCTTTTGAGTTGTTGACATTTTTGTTTTGTCTTTATGCAAGATCGTATTTGTGACCTGATCCAGCAAAATGAGTCACAGTGACCCAAATTTAAAAATTGAGATTTTGATATTAATGGAAAGAGGACACTGTAAGCTTTCAAATGATACCTTGGACAAAATCATACATTGAATGGTTGTAAAGATATACACATTTGAATTCTGGTCGTCTGCCCTATTTTTTCCAATTGAAAACCTGAGAAAATCGCTTTTAAAGTTTTTTTGCCCGTTTTTTTTTTTGTTGATATCTTTCAAAATCCATAGCATTTTAAGGGATAAACTATTTATTTTATATAGCTTAATTTGACCAAATAGATTAACATATATATAAATGCAATTTAGCGAGACTGAAGCTCAACTTATTTTTAAGTTTTTTGGAATAAATAATTAAAAAGTCACTTTTACAAAAATGTTCTAAAATCAGAAAGATTGAAGAGGAGTCAGAGAGAAATTCAGTTTTCATACGGATTAGCCCACATAAGAAGAGAGCGGTCTGTTTTCTTTCATTTTGAATGGTTGTGTTTAAAAGTAGACATTTCAATATATATGTCTGTGAGGATACCTTATATGCTGACTTTCGGTTCATGAGACAAGCTTCAGTTCACGTGCCGCGTGTCTCCGCGTCGTGATTAGGCCTAGACTATCCATTGTCTGCAATTTATTTCTTATTATTAAATCCTAGTAATTGGTTGATGAAACATTGGTTTAAATTAAGATAATTATTTTAAAACGAAATTCACTTTAAAGAAAGGCTTTGTGCTTGCATGTTTAAGCTCTGTGAAAGTTTTAGTGCTGCTTCCAGAGAACGGTCACGTTCGGATTGTTTTTCCTCATAAATGCGAACACGGAAAATAAAATAAAGATTTTATGTTCTGGAGAGAGTCAACCCTTCTTCATCCGGTGAGTATTACTTTTGGTTTGTGCAGTGTGGTTCACATAGGCCAATTTATTAAAAGATTTAATTATCTGGGCATTATGGATCTCCTCCCTCCATAAAGCTGAAATTGCCCAATTTTAAACAATTTAGTAATAATTTAACTAGTTTTGTGGTGTAAGTCTACGTATTTTATAATGTTAACTTCAAATAATACTAATAGTAATTTAAAGATAGTGCAGCTAGCATTGGGTCTGGATGTGAAGGATAACTTCGGGAGTTGAAGGGACGTGTCGGTGTCGTGATTCTGTCTTCTCACACCGCGACACAGGTTCGTGGATCTGAGTGTCGCGATCGTTACAGCCTTACATAGGCTATATTCTTCTTGCAGATAAATATACTCACGCAGCTTAGGTTAGAAGCCTCCAGTGAGTTCAACGTTTCAGGGGATAGCCGGGAAATGCTCAGAGGTGACGAGGGGAGTTGAGAAGAGCAATGTTTATTTCAGCGAATTTAAAGCTTTGACAACTTTAATCGTTATTTAAATACCTTTACTCAATTATCTGGACTACGAAACTCTGGGAGATTATTTTTGAATGTCTGTTGAATGTCAAAAATTTTTTTTTTTGTTATTTCATGGTTTTTCCACATAATCGGCCCATATCTTAAAATGGAACGTTGCGACTTTCGACTCATTTCGCCAGAGCGGGTCACATTTTGTGTTTATTTATTTATTTTATTTTTTGTGTGCGTGAGTGTGTGTGCATGTGTGGTTTGTATGATGGTTTGCTCTCTTATTCTCCTTACCCCAATTCTCTACATTTGTTGTAAATCAGACATGTCCAGTTGGTTCTACTTTGGCTTTCACTTTTCAAACTGTGATCAATGGGCAAGGGTCTTAATGTAATTCATTTAAACATTCGCAGTTTAGTTCCTAAAATTGATCAACTAAGGGCATGGCTTGTTTACAATAATCCTAATATTATTACTTTATCTGAAACCTGACTAAATGAAAACATAGCAGACTCCAATGTTAAACTGGACAACTACATTATATACAGGCTTGATAGAGGATCTAGGGGAGGTGGGGTTGCCACTTACATTTCATCAAATTTGAAATCACAATTAATTATCCCTAAAGTGAAACCTGAGCTATTTGAAGGTATCTTTGTTAAGGTTACTCTTCATGCAAATAAACAATTAGTAATTGGCAACATATATCGGCCACCAACATCTCCCAAGCTATCTGATCGAAACGTTCTAGCCACTGTCTCATCATTTGGTGACTCATCAGAAATTTTGCTGTTGGGGGATTTCAATTTAAACTGGTCTGATCCGGGTATTCTCGCGGAATGTAACATGTTCGATGGTTCAAATTTTACACAAATAATTAAAGAGCCTACTAGAATCAGCCCAAGTTGCAAATCTCTTCTTGGCTGGATATTAGTCACTCATCCCAACAGAATAATCAAATCCGGTGTTCTCTCGGATTGTTTTAGTGATTATTCTTTCATATATTGCATTTGGAAAATTTCAATTCCCTGTCTTTCTCCAAAATTTATTCTGATCCGTGACATGAAATTATTTAACAGTGATTTATTTATTAATGATGTGAGAAGGATAAATTGGAATAGATTTAGCCTAATTCCTGACGTGGAAGCTGCCTGGAATTTCTTTTATACTGAATTTGTGCAAGTCATTGATAAGCATGCCCCATGGGCAACTATTAAGGTCAAAGGTCATCACCTACCTTGGGTAAATGGGGAACTTATCAGTCTGTTTTAGCAGAGGGACAGGGGGTGGAACAAACATAAAAAAACTTCTTAATGATTGGGAGGAATATAAACGGCTACGAAACTTGCGCACAACCCAAACAAGAAATGCTAAAGCCAATTACTACAGAAATAGTTTGTCACATGACTTCAATAATCCTAAACAATTTTGGAAAAAAATGAATACCTTAATTGACAAGTCGAACAGTACCCGCAGTAACATGATAATTAATAATGCAACTGTTAATGGTCCAGCTGTTATCTCAAATGCATTTAGTTTGCATTTTGCCGAAACACCTCAGGTACAGTCATCGTTCTTTCACCCAGAGCCGACCGTTAATCCTCAGCCCAGCGACAGCTCTTTCACATTCCGACAGGTTAGCTCAGCTGATGTCCAGCGGGCCATTAGCAAGATATCCTCTAGTAGTGGACCGGGTCCTGACAGCATTGAGGGTATGTTTAGCAAAATTTATTCACATGTCCTATCCTCTCCATTGGCTGAGCTCTTTAATCTGTCATTTCTAACCCATGAAGTGCCTCTGGCATGGAAATGTACCAAAGTCATTCCATTGCATAAAGGAGGGGACACCCAAAATATGAACAATTATAGACCTATCTCAATAATTAATAGTATTGTGAAGATTTTTGAGAAAATTGTCTTCGATCAATTATCTAACTACCTTTCTGATAATAATGTATCTCAATGCCAGTCAGGTTTCAGGAAACACTACTCTACTACCACTGCTCTTTTTCACTGCCACAATGCTGTTCAGGATGTGACATTCATTTTTATTCAGATGATACAATTATATATTGCTCCAAATTGAATATTTCGGATATAAATTATTCATTACAGTGTGACTTTGATTCTGTCCAGCACTGGCTGTCATTTAATAAACTCCTGTTGAATAAGTCAAAGTCTTACTGTATGCTTTTCCAGAAGAATGAAAGAAATAATCTTAATCTGCATTTTCTGGATTCTTCTCCTTTAGAGTCAACTGAAAAATTGAAATATCTCCGTGGTATCTCGGCTAGAAAATGATCTTTCATTCAAAGCTCATATACACTCGCTTAACAATAAAATTAGCTTTCGTCTTAGAACATTATATCAATCGATAGACTGCTTTAATTTTCAGGTTAGGAGAAGAATAGTCTCCCAGTTGCTGCTACCTATACTAGACTATGCAGATATTATATATGCTAACACTACTGCCACTTGTCTACACTCTCTCAATGTGGTATACAACAGCCTGTGCCGATTCGTCCTTCGCTGCCCTTATAGGACACATTACTGTGTGATGTATGACCAGCTGGCCTGGCTTGCACCCTCAGCCAGAAGACAATATCATTGGTTTCAACTTATATTTAAATGCATTTATTTTCAATATCCAAATTATTTATCGCAATATTTAGTGCCTTTTAGTTCACAATATAATCTTCGTCACAACGAACAGATCTTCTTTACTGTCCCTAGAGTAAAGAGAAAAACTGGGAATTATGCTTTCTGTGTTGAAGCCCCTCGTGACTGGAACAGCCTTCCTGCATCTATCCGCTCGCTTACGTCTTTTCCTCTGTTCCGAACTGCTTTGTTAACACATCTTCAGAATACTTTGTGTCATGTTATCTATGGGTGTATGAATGTGTTTATATGTAGAAATATACATATCTAGTGATGTCAACTTTGTCAGTTTTATTTGGGATTATTGTGTGTCACACTTAACACCACTCTCAAAATGCTTGACTTTTAGAACATCATCATGCTGGTTTTGAGGTCAAGGTTAACCATCAAGGTTTTATTGTTTAGTGGTATTCATACCACAGTTTGGGAACCACTGTGATTTACTTTATTCTATCTGGGTAGAGGGGGATAGTGAGAGCTTGTGTGTGTGTGTGTGTGTGTGTGTCTATTGAGGTTTTTCTTGTATCCTGTATGCTGTATCTACTCTGTTGTTTTACTTTTCTTTATTGTTTGGAAATATTACTGAGGACCCCCATGAAAACGAGATGTTTCATCTCATGGGGCTGATCCTCTAATTAATGTTTATAAATAAATAAATAAATAAATATAGGCTTAATGTGTGTCATTGTTCTCTACAGGTTGAGTAACTGTGGAGTCACAGATGAAGGTTGTGTTGCTCTGGCTTCAGCTCTGAGATCAAACCCCTCACACCTGAGAGAACTGAGTCTGTATAAGAATAAACTAGGAGACTCAGGAGTGAAGCAGCTTTCTGATCTACTGGCGAATCCTCACTGTAAACTGGAGACACTGAGGTAAGATCATCTCTACCATAAAGAGTGAATAAGGATTCCCTTTCGTAGTCACTTCGAGTTACGTCAGAAGTGACGGAGAATGGGGGTTTCGCATAAAAAAGCCAATCCTCTTCGAGTATTTAAAAACGAGCCAATGGCATGAAAATGCCTTGGGGCTGCGGAATTTGCATAGCGTATCTCCGCCCCATGCAGTGGGTATAAAGGAGGAAGAGAACGCAACCGCAGTATGTTTTCGCTTAGGAGCCAAGAGACCTCTTCACTCCAAAAGCCATTCTCACTGATCCAAGACTCTTCGAGACGAGCGTCCTCTTCAGTGTTGGTGTGACGGCGGTACCCAGCGAGATTCTGCATCGCCTGCGATCTGAGCAGTGGTCTGCCAGACTTTGCGCTTCTCCCTGGTCGCCTCAGCGCTGAAAGAGTGAATTTCCTCCTCTCATTGAAAGAGCTGCACGTGGCACGTCTTTTTAAAGATGTCTCGCCCGTGTTCTTCTGGGTGCGGTCGATTCATGTCATCTTCTGATGGTCACGATCGCTGCTCTGTGTGCCTGGGCATTCAGCATGCAGCAGCAGCGTTCGTGGATGACTCATGTTCCTTTTGTGGGAACATGAACATCTCTACACTGAGATCTAGACTCAATGATCTGACTAAAGTGAGAGTCCCCGTCCCCGCTACTCGATCTGCTTCTTCAACGAGAAGCTCTTCGACTCGCGGGCAGGGTGATCTGACGGTGACGGTGTGGAACAAAGCCCCGACGATAGTTCCTCGGGCCACACCCCCCGCTCCAGTGTTAGAGCCAGCGAGCGCCGGTTCGATTCAGCCGTCTGCCTCTTCGCAGGTACCGTCTGGTTCGTTCAGCGCTCCAGAGGATGAAGCGATGTCGATCGCAGCATCACAAGGCGGGCTTGATTCCTCGGGAGATGAGGATGCGGCTGCGTTGCCTCCCTCGGGAGTCCCAGCGTTGCCCGTGTCTGATCCCGAGTTAACGGCCATGCTCTCTCGGGCCGCCGTGAGTATCAGGTTAGAGTGGAACCCTCCGCCCTGCCCCGATCTGTCACGGATGGATAATTGTTTTTTGGGTAAGGCTGCCACAGCAAGGCCACAGCCGACCCCAATGCCTTTTTCCCCGAGCTGCATGCGGAGCTGACGCGCTCTTGGAAGGCTCCTTTGTCCTCCCGAGACCGCGCTCTAGCCTCTCCTGCCTTTCCTCCCCTCGATGGTGGGGTCGCCCGTGGGTACACTGGGATGCCCCCGGTGGAGCGCTCTGTCGCGAATGCAGCTGTGTCCACAGAGCGCCTCCTCCCGTGGTCCTCCTAAGCACCCATCCAAAGCCTGTAGGTTCTCGTCTGCTATGGCGGCGCGTTCCTATAGAGCGATGAGCACTTTGCAGTTTGTCCAAGCCAAACTGCTCAGAGATATGCACGAGGGGGGGACTGACCAAACGGCCTTTAATGAACTGCGAGCCGCCACAGACCTTGCCCTCCGGGCAACGAAGGTGGCCGCTCGCTCCATTGGTCAGGTGATGGCCACTAGCGTGGTCCAGGAGCGCCATATCTGGCTTAACCTGGCAGACACACGGGATGCCGAGCGGACTCGTCTGCTCGATGGCCCGCTCTCCCAGGTTGGCCTTTTCGGCGGTGCAGTCGAGGACTTTGCCCAGCAGTTCTCGACTGCCCAGAAGCAGACGGAGGCGATCAAACACATTCTGCCCCGACGGCCAGCTGCTGCCTCCACCCAGCCGTCGGTACAGACGCCTCCCCCTGCTCGCCGCCGAGGACGCTCCCCTCCCTCCCACGCGGCCTCCTGAGACGGGCTGCTCAGTGATGAAGTTGAGTTTTTCCCAGGAGGTGGTAGCAGGCCCCCTCCTTCCCATGGTGGAGGGCCGGGGGAGAATCTTTTGTTCTCAGCTCCCCGCTGCTCACCCACGGGTGGGCAGTACCCTGAGTTGGTTAAAGAAAGACTTGAAATCATCACTGAGCACACAGACAGGAATGAGTGCGCTCGACGTCCCAGTGCATAAGCCCACTCATTCCTCTCTGTCTCTGAGGGTGCGGAAGGGAGCATGTGTCGTCCCTCGACTACGCCGTTCCCCTCCCCCTCTATCGCCAGACCCCCGGCAGAACGCTGGTCCTTCGCTGGTCTCTTCTGTCGGGGAGCGGGCTACGACTGTGCATCCGGGCGGGGTAACTCCTGCGCGTATGCCGGTCGACCCGCCTCCCTGCCCCTCCGGGGGGACGTCTGTGGTTCGTATGACCCCGCTGGTACACTTCCTGGAAGCTTGGCTAGAGCTTCCCGGTCTGTCCCGCTGGGTCATCAGAACGATCAGATTCGGCTATGAGATTCAGTTCGCACGGTCTCCTCCCCGTTTCAGGGGAGTTCGCTCCACTATGGTCGGTGGCAATGCCCCGGTCATGAGAGCGGAAATTGCAACCCTGCTGGCGAAGGGTGCAATCGAGACGGTCCCTCCAGCCGAGATGAGGTCCGGGTTTTACAGCCCCTACTTCATTGTCCCCAAGAAGACCGGTGGGTTACGGCCGATCCTGGATCTGCGCATTTTGAACCGTACTCTCCATCGACTACCGTTCAAAATGCTCACAGCCAAACGCATTTTCGAATGCGTTCGGCCTCAGGATTGGTTTGCAGCGATCGACCTGAAGGACGCGTACTTTCATGTCTCCATTTTGCCTCGACACAGACCGTTTCTTCGGTTTGCTTTCGAGGGCCAGGCATATCAGTACGTGGTTCTCCCATTCGGGTTAGCTCTGTCTCCTCGCGTCTTCACGAAGATCGTCGAGGCAGCCCTTTTTCCCCTTCGCGAACACGGGGTTCGCGTCCTGAACTATCTCGACGACTGGCTGTTACTGGCACACTCTCGAGAACAGGTTTGCGAACACAGAGACCTGGTGCTCCGGCACCTAGCCCGTCTGGGCCTTCGGGTCAACCAGGAAAAGAGCAAACTTTGCCCCGTGCAGAGGATCTCTTTTCTCGGCATGGAGATAGACTCGGTCGCCATGTCCGCGCAGCTCACGAGCGAGCGCGCGCACTCACTGCTGACTTGTCTTCGACAGTTCGAGGGCAAGAGTGCGGTTCCACTGAAACTGTTTCAGAGGCTCCTGGGGCATATGGCATCCGCGGCCGCGGCAAAGCCGCTCGGTTTGCTTCATATGAGACCGCTTCAGCTGTGGCTTCGTGATCGAGTCCCGAGGTGGGCATGGCATCGCAGCTCGCTCCGAGTTCCAGTGACTCCAGCGTGCCGCCGAAGCCGAACCTTCTTCCCGTGGTCGAACCTCAGCTTTTTACGGACCGGTGTCCCTCTTCAGCGAGTTTCCAGGCATCTCGTTGTCTCCACGGATGCATCTACCACGGGTTGGGGTGCCATGTGCAATGGGCATGCAGCCGCGGGTTCCTGGACAGGACCCCAGCGCCTCATGCACATCAATTGCCTCGAGCTGCTGGCAGTACGCCTGGCCCTGCAAAGCTTTCGAGCGCTGCTCAGGGGTCAACATGTACTTGTCTGTTCAGACAACACCACTGCAGTAGCGTACATCAACCACCAGGGGGTCTACGCTCACGCCGGTTGTCGCAGCTCGCCCGCCACCTCTTACTATTGAGTCAGAAGCACCTGAGGTCCCTTCGTGCAGTGTACATTCCAGGAGTCCAGAACCTGGCAGCCGACGAGCTGTCACGGGTCCGCCCTAACTCCGACGAATGGCGACTCCATCCCCAGACGGTCCAGCTGATTTGGGACCAGTTCGGGGAGGCACAGATAGATCTGTTCGCCTCCCGGGACTCATCCCACTGCGCCCAGTTTTATTCCCTGACCGAGGGTATGCTCGGCACAGATGCACTGGCGCAGAGCTGGCCGCGGGGCCCACGCAAGTATGCGTTTCCCCCAGTGAGCCTTCTTGCACGGGTGTTGTGCAAGATCAAGGAGGACGAGGAGCAGGTCTTGCTGGTAGCCCCCTATTGGCCCACCAAGACGTGGTTCTCCGAACTCATGCTCCTCGCGACAGCACCTCCTTGGCCTATTCCTCTGAGACAAGATGTACTCACTCAGAGACGGGGCACTCTGTGGCACCCTCGTCCCGATCTCTGGAGGCTGCATGTGTGGCAACCATCACTTCCGCTAGAGCGTCGTCCACGAGACACCTTTACGCGTTGAAGTGGAACCTCTTCGTCAGTTGGTGCTCTTCTCACGGAGAAGACCCCCGGAGATGTTCGATCAGTGTCGTGCTTTCCTTCCTGCAAGAAGGGTTGGAGCGCAAGCTGTCGCCCTCCACCCTTAAGGTTTAGGTCGCGGCCATTGCCGCCTCTCATGAAGCAGTAGAAGGTAAGTCCTTATTTATTTATTTGATTTATTTCAGGTTTATTTAACAGGGACAATGCACACTAATGATACATGATTAAATGTCCAGTGTGCCAGATTTAGCCAGTAGGGTATTTTACATCTGCTGTCCCTGGACAGATCTTGATGTCACACCTAAAACAAAAAAAAACAACAAAAAAAACATAAAAACAATATATCTAGGACAATAACTAATGTCAAAGGTTTCCCCTATCTAAACACAAGAGAAAACAATGAGCCAGCCAACCACATTGGCATAGCACAGGAGACACAAACAAGCAAACAGACTAATAAAAATAAAGATTAACAACAAAAGACAAAAAAATAAATAAAAAGGCAGGACAAGAAACAGTGCAGCAGCAAAATTTCATGTCAAGTGTAATGTAAACAGTCCTGACTATCTATTAACCATTTCTTTAAGTTATGTTTAAAAGAAACGTATGATTTAAAATTCCTAATGTGAATTGGAATGAGATTCCATTCACGAGCTGCCCTTATTGAAAAAGCTGTTTGACCAAGTGCACTCTTCCTAAACGGGACAATGCAGTCACCTCTTGCTGCACTCCTTGTAGATCTGAGAGCATTTGGTGCTGCTGTGCTCACAAACTGGCACAATACAGGAGGAGCCAGTCCATGCAAAATTTTATACACAAGACA